ACAAAATTCTTTTGAGGAATATGGTCCACTATACTCAATGTTCAGCAGTTAAACTCAATCTAGAAAACGGTGACTTAAAACTGTCATTTGGAAAACTTTTACTGAATTGAAATGCTCTTGATAATGTCAAAGCAACCAGACATTCTTGCCTTGTATGGCAGAGTAGAGAGTATCTGTCTTTGCTTTAGAGGTTTTTCTACATTTGTAAATAGGCAGATATAATACAAAATAAATGAACATTTATTTTGGGCTCTGGGTGGACAAAACTGGGTTTGAATCTTGATTGGTCAAATTATTAACCTGCCTGAGACTTGGTTTCTAAGAATCTAAAATGGAGTAATAGCAAAACCCCTTTGGTAAGGATTATTTATAAAATAACCCATGTATATCACTTAGCACTGAGAGTTAACAGAGGCAAATATTACCTAAATAGGAGGAAACGGAGGAGGAACAATGAGGCCTCTTTTATCTATGCTAAGCTTTGTCTGCAGAAGAGAGAAATGTGTGGCCTGTTGGTGAATTTATGGCTTTGTGGTAGTAATGGATTTTCCTAAAGCTGTTTCCCTCTGATCATTAATAATCCCTGTACAGCAAAGGGCTATTGTTCTTTGGTATGAGTAAATAACCCTGTTGGAAGCATCGCTTATCTTCAGACCACAGTGCATACTTCTTACTGGAAATATAATGCAGGTGCCAACACCAAAGGCATGACCAGGCTTCCCTTCCTATTTTTCTTCCTTTATCTCTTACTTCTTGTTTATCCCTCAGTGCACTTTTCTCTTAGATCTGTTATACTCCCTCCTTTTTGGTGTACACCCATAATCTTATCCCAATCAAACAACCTTTAAGTGATTCTCCATACGTTTTTCCATACATTTCTGGTCTCATATCCTTCCCCCACCACCGTCAATCAACCACACACACACACCCCCATGAACTTATTTCCTGTCTCAGATTCAGTTTTTGGTTACTAGAATCCAAAAAGGGAAGTGTAATGCCACACACTGTTTTGCAAATTTCAGGATATGCTTGTGTGGTGTACTTAATCATACCGCCGCTATTTTATGAAACAGCATCTTTTTACACAGAAAATGACGATAATATGGTCTGTCAGCCACAGGGGGCAGGGAGGAGAGGGTAGACAGTATTTTCGTATCACCTAAGGGAAAATAATTTAGTTTAGGCCCTGTAATATGGGAAATTTTTAGAACACAGGGCCAAAACAAAATATTAATGTCTGAAAGACTTCTAAAATGACTATCCCAAACAAGGTCACAGGAGGCAAGCACACCCATTCTAAATATATCATACCAGCACCAGAGCACACACAAGATTATACTTGTGCAGGGGAACTCCAATCAGGCTACTGTAACCAAGATAACAACCAATAGCCATTTTTCCCTTCAGGGACAGCAGTTCTAAATGAAAAGTTATGAGTTGCTCAATTCAAAAGAAGTGGAAGTGGTTTCCTTATCAGCATATTTTAACAGTCAAAGAAAAGGTGTGGGTCAGTGAGAGGTGGCAAAAAGTAGTTACTAGTTACCAGAAGTAGGGGACAGTGGAGAAGATGTAGGGGAGGGGCTGGAAGTAGAAGGCCAAAAACAACAAAACGCTAAAGATCAACCATTCACTCATTCATTCATAACTCCCCAGCCAGGATCTTTCACCCTTCACATCAACTAGAGAAGTCTGAGAATACAAGACACTGACTTAAATTCCTGCTTTGTGATAGTTTTCTGAGGAACTGGATTAGGAAACTGACCAGAGCTTTGCATGGTACTGTTAGATGTAGCTGGGGCTTTCTAGCACCTGACCCTTGATCCAACTCTGATAAATAACTGCATTCTGTGCAGGGATCCACACCTTCAGAACAGCTTCCTCCACCATCAAATAACTATTGAATGAGCAACTTTACCATCAGCAGAGGCACCAGAGCGCCTCACTATGCTAAGTCCCTTGAGTTTTATATGCGGACAATGACTAGCCTACGTAGCACCCTTGAGTTCCTCCAGCCCAGTGCCAACCAAGATTTCTGTGAAGGGAATGTTCTATCTGCTCTGTCCAATAGGACACACCTGTCACAGGTAGCTATTGGCACTTGAAATATGGTGTATTGAAGGAACTGTATTTTTATTTAAATAATCACAGGTGGTTAGTGGCTACATAGGGGATAGCACAGACCTAGACCAAGAATTGCAAATCAAATGCCCACAGTGGGTCAGCAAGGTTAGAATAGGACTTTTTGGCAAACCCTGAGCCTGAGCCACATAGGAGGGGAAGCAGCTCTCCAGGTCTGGCTGACAGCTGCTGTGTAGGAACCTCTAGGAACTTCAGGCTGGTATTGTCAGATTGTCGGATTTTTCAAATGAAGCCAAAAGTCTGGATTTTGATGTCCAATTTTTAAGTGTTGGCAAGTAAATTTAAAAAAGAATTTAAATCACTGTGTGGGCTGAACAATATGTTTGCAGGCAATATCTGTCTTGTCAGTTTGCAACTTCGAATCTAGGCCAACCATCAGCTCAGAGACAAGAGCTTTATACATGGTCAGTGGCAGATCCAAGATTGAAACCCAGGCCTTCTGATTCTTCTTCTGATACCCTTTCCACTATATTGTGGGACTGACTGTAATGTGGTGGGGTTGGCAGCAGTGGCAGGGACAAAAGTCCCTTTTTGTGACAAGCTGCTGGATTCCATGGCTGATAACGTATGAACAGTGTTCCTGCCCAGCTACAACCACCATATGGATAAGGCTCTGTACCAGGAGCCAGGAAGACACAAAGAAAAAGACAATTTATCCAAAAAATCAGGTTTTCTATATAGGACACAAATTACCTGTGCACAAGTCCAAAAGCACTGACAGCTGGGGGGAAGGGGAGGGAAGAGATTTGAGCCAGGACATAGCTTCTCCTTGCTGCCAGCAGAAGCTGGCAAGTGGGTGGATGAGACTCACTGATTATGGGGATGGGTCCCATTATTCCAGGATATTAAGGGGCCTCCTCCTTTATCTCTGAGGTCTTGTCTGTGTCGTCTCCTTTCCTGGCTTCTCCTTCTCTGGGTAATCTCTAAATTGTAAGAACCCAAGGGATCTAGGGGTCTTCCTCTTTCATTTGCACTTTTTTTTTTTTTTTTTGAGACAGAGTCTCGCTCTGTCGCCCAGGCTGGAGTGCAATGGCGCGATCTCGGCTCACTGCTACCTACCTCCATCTCCCGGGTTCAAGCGATTCTCCTGCCTCGGGGTCTCGAGTAGCTGGGATTACAGGTGTACACCACCACATTCGTCTAATTTTTAGTAGAGACAGGGTTTCACTTTGTTGGCCAGACTGGTTTTGAACTCCTGACCTTGTGATCCGCTCGCCTCTGCCTCCCAAAGTGCTGGGATTACAGGCAGGAGCCACCGTGCAAGCCATTTACACCCTCTTCTTCCTCGATCTGACAAGTCCTCCTTGCCTTCCCCATTTATTATCTCCAGCTATGATTTTTCCCCTGAATTGTGTATCTAACTTCTTGACAACTTCATTTGAATTGTTAATGGACTTACCAAAGGTAGTATGTTCAAAAGAGAACTTTCCATATTCCTTTCTAAACTGTTTCCCCTTAGAGAGTTATCCTAGGTTCCACACTTCACATCCAATTCCCCGGCAAGTCCTGTAAGCACTACCTCCCAAACACATGCTGAATGGAATTCTCTCAATTTCTACTGTGACTAAGGGCCCCTTCAATACTATCCTCACCTTTCCTTTGTCTTACAGTGCAACAGTCTCCTAACAGGTCTAACTACTTCCACCCTTCTCTATCCAGCAGGCAGAGCTATTTTAAAAAATGTAAATCAAGTCAGGTCACTTCCCTTCTTAAAACCTTTCAGGTACACAACAGCCAAACCCCTGCCTTGGGCTAAAAGTCGCTGCTAGAGTCCTGCCACTTCTCCAACTACACCGCAGAGCACTCCGCCCCTGGCCCTGTCTGCTTGAGCCACAAGGCCTTCTGGCGGTTTCCAACCTAAAAATCCTTCTCATCGGCTCTTCTCTCCACCCAGAAAACCCATTGTCTCGGATCCCCGCAAAACCGTGGCCTCCTTTGAACGGCCTTACCCGATTTCGAGGGGCCATCCCCCAATCTTCTGTCACCTCATCTGGTCTTTGGGGGGCATTTCTCACTTGCTGATACCTTCTTTATTGATTTAACTCTTCCGTACTCGTTACTTTTCAGTAACAGAGCAAGGAAATTATGAAGCTGGCCCTCACTGTCCTAGGGAGTCTCCGTTCCTGTACAGGAGGGACATGGCTTGGGTCAACTTTCCCCAGCCCGACACCTCTCGCCCTTGAGCGGCCCCTACCACCGCCCATTTACATTCGGGGGTCCAAAAGATTCACAGCCTCCGGGGGACACCAAGCTGGCACGTGAGCGTCCCCACACCAAGCCTGCCCTCCTGGACGCGCGAGCCACTTCCGTGAGGAAGGTCCCGAGGCCGGTGGCGATGACACCGAGCCGCCCCCGCGAGGCTGGGGTCACACAGGCGCGTCTCCCGGCAACGCCGCACCCCAACCTCCAACCCATCCCTGCCCTGGCGAGCCAACCCCTTCCCCCGCGAGTCTCCCGCGCCTGGAGTCGGTGCCTCCATCCCCTACACTCACTCTGCGTCAGTCCTGCCTTCCCCCACCCACAGAAGCGCGCAGCCCGCGGCGGGCTAGGAGAAGGCGGCGCCAGGAGCCTAGCGGAGCCGCGGCCGATCAAACACAGGCGGGTCCAGTAAGCCAGGCCGGACCAAACCAACGGGCCCACCTCTGTGGGAGCACCAGTTCCAGGTCTGAGGGAGTCTCGAGCCTCCCCGAACCTCAGGCTGTACCCATTTCCCGCTGCATCCAACAATCAGCTGAGCTCCTCCTCTCCCTATTTTTCCTTTACGCTTTCGTCACCCTCCCCACTCCATTCCCGTAAAGAAAGAAAAAAAAAAAATGGTCCAGCCCAGCTCCCTCTCCGGGTGGCTAGGTCTTTGCCCTTACTTGGCGACGGCTTCGTACGTCTTTGCGTGCGTCCTGACGCAATCCCACTCGTTCCCTCTTCACCCCTCTCCCATTCTCCCTCCTGGAGCTGGCGGCCGGCGGGGTTACCGGAAGTGATGATGCAGGAGGCGATGGAGGGGGTGGGGCTTCGGGGCGGCCGCCGCCGGTGGGCCGCAGATGAAGAGGAGGCGGTGGCAGTGGTGGAAGAAGAGGCGGCGGCGGCGGGGGTAGGGAGCCTGGAAACGCGAGCGGGGATGGTAGGTGGTTTGGACCCGCCGGGCCGCCGTCGTTTCCAGAAAGGGTTTGACTGGAGGAACCTCTGGAGCAGCTGTGAGTTTTGGGGAGGGGGGGAGTTAAGGAAAAGGCGGGGGGGGGGGCATTGAGAGATGAAGGGGCGGGGGCTGGGTACCTTCGAGAAAGGGGGGTGGAAAGGGAGGAGTGGAAGTCAGCGCGTTGTGTGGACTGGCCCCTCTGGAAGAAGAGGCTGTGAGGGGAGCCTGTGGCGTGTCAGCCGCAGGGCTCAGAAAACTTACCTACTGTCTCTGCCTCCCCACGGCCAGCACCCCTCAACCCAGGGCCTGGGGACCCGGGGTTGGAGCTGCCCTGGAGTAGGTGCAGACTCTGGTCCTATGTCCTGGGTGAGCGCTGTGAGGTAGGAACCCAAGGGAGAGGTAGTGGGTGAATCTCCCAGCTCCCTCCGCCCTCATTTCCCTCCCCACCCCCATCCTTCTCTTTAATCATTAACAGCCTGGAATTAAGGGGCTTAGACCTGAAGGCCTTTCTGTGCACCTTTGCTGTAAACGATAACCATCTGTGTCCGAGGTAATGGGGCTGGAGGCTTTGCCTGGATCCTCTGTAGGAAGTGGGACGGGGTGACAAATGTATTGTTTGCCCCCCCACCACCCCGCCACTTCTCACCCCTCATCCTCCCCCATGCACACCCCTGGTTTCCACTTTTAATTCTCTGGCTGAGTGGCAATCGTGTTTTGTTTTTTTTTTTTCTTCCCCTTTCTTCCTTTATGGCACTTAGTGCCTTGGTTACCTCTTTTGAATTTGGTGTTCAGCCTCTATCCCAGATCTTAACTGCAAGCTTTGTAATACTTCACACAGGCTGTCACATTGGGAGTACCTCTGACGCCGGGTAGCTCCGATGATAATGAGCATTTTCTTTTATGAATACTGGAGTTCCAAAGCCTTTGCAAGGAATCCTGAATGGCATCATAGCCCAGGAATCAAGGTCTCTTGCTCAAAATACTTTCTGTGTGAGGAATTTACATGTTGTTAGCTTTTCCCAAAATGATTTGCCAGGCTAATTCTGGATTTCTGTGTTTCTCTCCACCCACTTTTCATGATGCACTTCAGAGAACAGAAAACCCCATATTACTTTTTTGTTTCTACAATTGGACAATAGCTCTTTTATCTTTTTCTCCATTTGTGTGTGGCACACGAATCTTCAGTGACATTCAGTTTGTGATGATTTTCATCTTTATGTAGCTGATTCTTTCTGTATAGGGGGTCCTAAATGAGACAATGTGATCTGTTTAGTCTGTTTAGTTTTGTTTTAAGGGTGAATACAAACCAATAATGGATATGAAAAAAATTGTTTGAAGAAAGCAGAGAATGGAAAGAAGGCGTCTTTGTTGATATGCTGTTAGTTTAAAAAAATACATCACCAAAGAGCACTCCTCATGCCTCTCATACGGATTTCAGAGTGAAGAGTAATGATTTTCCTTTTGATACTGATATATTCTTCGGAAATCTTTTGTAGGATCTGAAACTGTTTTCTGAAGAACTTTAAGAGGTAGGGCCCACATTTTAGGACTCCTTTTTTTTTTTTTTTTTTTTTTAAAGACGGGGTTTCATCATGTTTTCAGGCTGGTCTTGAACTCCTGACCTTGTGATCTGCCCACCTCTGCCTCCCAAAGTGCTGGGATTACAGGCGTGAGCCACCAGGCCCGGCCTTAGGAGTCTTTTGATTAGAAAGTGCCCATAAATTCTGTCCTGTAACTGAGCTTGATATGCATAGTGCTAGGAATTTCTGACGCTAGAAAGTCCTGTTTAGGACTTTCAGACCCTATGAAACAGAATATTTAATGCCTTGATTGTACCAGTAACAGTGTGTGTAGGTGTTTCACAAAAATACACAGAAGAATGACTACTGTTCTCACTTTAACTGATTTGGAACCTAGTTTGCCATTGAATAAAAAGTCCACAATTCATTAATTCAGCAAACATTTATTGACTCTCAAGTGCTAGCCAGTGTTTCAGGCACTGGGTGTACAAAGGTGAACACAAGCAAAAGGTTCAGCCTCTCATGGAGCTTACATTGGAGTGGGAGCTGGGGACAGAGAGAGAGATAATGTATACTCCAATAAATCAGGTTTTGATCAAGTGCTGAAGAAAATAAGAGTGATGTGATAGGAATTGTCTTAACTGTAGATATGGTCAAAAAGGACCTTTCTGAGGAGGTGACACTTAAGTAGAGCTTTAAGTGTAAAGAAGGAGCCAGCCAAAGATAAGGGGAAGATCCTTCCAGGTTCAGGGAACAGCTGGTGTAGAAACTGACTGGAATGTGCTTGTCAGGGTCCAGGGAAAGGGAGGAAAGAGCCAGGCTAGGTGGGAGGTAATGGGAAGAGGATGGGTTGGGTTAGTAATAGACAGAGCTTAGTGAACACTGGGAAGGGTTGGAGATAAGGTCAAAGAGGTGGATATGGGGCTCAGAATAGGTAGGCAAACAAATTAAGAGCAGGAAGGAGGAGGAAGTAAAAAATGATGCTACTTGTTGACTAATTCTCTTGCCTTAACTAGGTCTTATCACTTACTGTTTTTGCAGGTACTGTTGGACTATCATAATAAAAAAAAGTCACTCCGCTGAGTGGGAGAGGAAGAGGCAGTGGTCACCTGGGTCTTTTCTAGCAGATAAATCTCAAGCTGAGTGTTCAGATTTCAGCAGGATGTTCAATTGAGGGCACACCTCGTTCCTTATTTTGTCTTATATGCTGCTATTTAAAACTGCATAATATGTTCTCTGAATGTGTTCTAGTATACGAATACTCCTTTGCTTCCAGCTCTGCATGTATTTAAAGTTGAAAGATTGGGCAAGTGTTAATAACATGCCCTTGTCGGTCTACCAAGATGTCCATCAGGATCTAAGTTTCAGGTTTTCTTTCGTAGGGAGGCAGAGTTTATGTTGTAATAGTTCCACTCTTGTCTGGTCCTCCTGATGACTAGTAATGCGTGACTAGTAACTGAGGTGTAGGTTGGTGCTAAACATTCACTCAGTGGATTACGTTAGATAAATGACCATTATGGGGCTCAGTTCCACTGTGTCGGCATCTTTGTGTTGGCATGTAACCAAGGGATATAACCTACTTTTGTCTCCTGCTGGGGGCATTCATCTCTAATAACATACTGCTTTTCAGCCTCACCTTGACCAGATTGTCCACTTGAGAGGCCCAATCATGACTCCTTGATTTGGCCCTCTTGAGCCATGTCACAGTGGGCTGAAACAGAATATGCTTTTTTCTTCTTTTGAACCCCACAACAGTGACTAGTGTGTTCTTTGAGTGAATTGGCTCTTTGAGCCAGGCGGTTGAGAGACTTAAATGTTGCTTGGGCTATTTGTAGTAAACTCAGTATTAGAAATGCCAAATAAAACCTTTTAGTGTTTGGAGAAAATGATCAGAAATTGAAGATTTGTCACCTGTTTTAGGTTCTAGTATTCTAGTGGCACCTGTGGAAGGACTGTCGAAAACTTGAACAGAGCTCTCTGTGCAGTTCTAGGGGTAATGAAGGGGACGAGGTAGATCCTGGTACTGAATTACTAATTCTGACTTGACTGCAAACAGAAAGTCTTTTAGTTAGCCAGCAAATGACTAAAGTAAACAGCTAGGAACAGGCAAATAGCGTCTACTCTCCGTACTAGAGAATCTCAAAGGAATAGAGAATCATAGTGATACTTATTAATTTAATTATTTGGCTTTGGCCCAGGTTAAAGAGTTTGGATTTAACTCATATGCTAATGCTGGGCATAAAATGCCCTATCCGATGGGTTACTAAGCTCTCCACTTCATCTTTATTTCAATGGTTTATTGTAACTCAAATATGAAAATATCCTGTAGGCTGAAGTTTCATCAGCCAGTTTGGAGACTGGTGTCTCTTTTCTAATTTTTGAAAGGAGGTGGATGGGTAGGAGGGGACTTGAACACAAGGGGAAGCCATTGACTCCTACATTGGCTACTAATTGTGTTTGGGGAAAGAATCTGCAAAATTAAGTGAATTGGATCTTTGGAGCTGAGCTGGCCTTTTAATTTAGGGTACCAGTGGATTTGTTTCTTACACTTTGCAGGCTTTTGGACGAACTCTTCTGAAAGGTGGGCAACCTAGAAAGCCAGTTGATGCCATTTGCTATTGCAGTTGTGGGTAAGTGGTTTTGCCTTGCATTACACAACTTAAAGGTAATCTGATTTTGCTACTGTTTTGGGATACAGATGCTGTTTGATTTACAATGTGGTTACCTTTGGTAACCCCATCATAAGTTGAAGGTATTGTAGGTAAAAAAATGCATTTAATATACCTTATCTACCGAACCTCATAGCATAGCCTAGCGTCCCTTAAACATGCCAAGAACATTAGCTTGCAGTTGGTCAAATGTATCTAACAAGGCTGTTTTATAATAAAGTATTGAATAGCTCATGTAATTTATTGAACAAATACTGGAAGTGAAAAACAGAATTGTTAATTGTTGTATGAGTACTTGAAATAGTCAGGGACTGTTTACATGTGCTGTAGGAAGGAGAGTTCATTGTACACTAGCTGCCAGTTGTTTTGAGGTGAAGAAGTGGTAGCTTAGGTTGAAACAATGGTAATGATGTGGTAACTCCTGTCTCCCCAGGTCTTGATAACTGAAAATTATCTCTTTGTGTCTGTTTATAGATGTTGATACCAGTGAACCAGAATCCATTCTCCCTCAATGTTGGGACTATTCTGAAGCTCTTTGCACAATGGACCAGGGTTAATTGAGTTAGTGTCTTTCAGTTCAAATCTAGTTTCACTAGTTCTTATGTTTGTTTTTCTAGATAATGATGAGTCCTATTTCTTTTGGATGGTGGGAAGAGATTACTACAGAACTTGACCATTTAATTAGTAAATAATTTCAAACTAAAGCATAACTTATTTACATCCCCTTGGTATACTGGGGGATTGGTTTTGGACCCCTTGGATACCAAAATTTACAAATGATGAAGTGGTAGTATATGGGAAGGTGCAGGGAGTGACGGTGATGCACATCTGTAGTCTCAGCTACTCAGGAGGCATTTCTAGATTACTTATAATACCTAATACAGGTTGGATGTGATGGCTCATTCCTGTAATCTCAGCACATTAGGAGGCCGAGGTAGGAGGATGGCTTGGAGGCCAGGAGTTCAAGTCTAGCTTTAGGTAACATAGTCAGACCCTGTCTCTATAAAAAATTTTAAAAACTTAGCCAGGCATGGTGCTGCATGCCCAAAGTCCCAGCTACTGGGGTCACTAAGGCAGGAGAATTGCTTGAGCCCAGGAAGTCGAGGCTGTAGTGAGCCATGATGGAGCCCTTGAACTCCAGCCTAGGTGACAGAGCAAGACCACATCTCAAAAACAACAGCCAAATACAATGTAAATGGTATGGAAGTAGTTGCTATACTGTATTTTTAAAAATTCAGATTTTTATTGTTTTATTATTATGTTTGTATTTTCCAAATATTTTTGATCTGTGGTTGGCAAATCTACTGATGTAGAACCTGTTGATACAGATGGCCGATTGCACTGAAAATGAGAGAAAAGGTTAGAAGTGGCTCAAACTCTTACTCTCTGAAGTTGTGATATGTTGAAAGAAGAGAATGGCAGAGAGGGAAATGCTAAATCATTTTCTTTAAGATGTGTGCAAATGAGACCTTCTTTAAATATACATTAGAATGGGGAAGCTCAGTAAAGCTTAGTAAATCACTACCTCAGGACTGAGGTGGTGATTAGCTCTCGTGGCAAAATAAGTCACCTATGACCAGTGCCTGGATACCAGCCTGGTTGCATGCAAAGGCAGACTGTTGATGATTCCTCCTACCTTTCTGAGGGCTTGGCTTTGTTCAGAAGTGTCCTTTGAGCTGTGTTATGTTGTTGGGCTTAGGATTGAATTGCCACACAGAAATTTAGATGGCATAGTGTTGGGAAGCATTGTCCCTGATCCTTTTGTGCCCTGCCCTCTTTGAGGGCTCAACCGCAGGACCTGGTGACTAGAAATAATTCTGTCACTTGGGCCTGCAGATTCAGACCAGGTCTGATGACTGACTGAGGATCTCAGATAGCAGCAGTGTGTAGTGTGGCACTCTTCATTTTTGAGACACTTAGTATCTTGGAGCCACTGCCCCTCTTTCTGCCTGTTGGTCCAAGAGAAAGTGTTAGACCTGCCCCTTTTTAATTTATTATGTTTTTATTTATTTTTTGAGACAGAGTCTCACTATGGCTCAGGCTGGAATGCTGTAACATTATCAGGGCTTACTGCAGCCTCAACCTCCTAGGCTCAAGCGATCCTTCTGCCTCAGCCCTGCTGAGTAGCTGGGACTACAGGCATGCACCACAATACCCAACTAATTTATTATATTTTTAGTAGAGATGGAGTTTTGCTGTGTTTTCCAGGCTAGTCTCAAACTCCTCACCTCAAGTGATCTGCTCGCCTTAACCTCCCAAAGTCTGGGATTATAGGCATGAGCCACCACACCTGGCCTGCCCCTTTATTTTAGTAGCAGATTGTTCCCACACAAGCAACAGAATTGGGTTACAGCTTTTAGCTCTCTATCATTCATGGTGGGTTTTAACTCTATGCAGTGTTTGCCTAAAGTGGATGAGTATGTGTTCTGTAATTTTGAGTCTGAACAAGTCTCAAGACATAGCATTACTACATTGAATGCTGTTAATTCCTCTTCCTGACATTAGGAGAAGCAGGAAAAAGTCAGATCCTTTTGCAGAATCTTAGCATATTTGGTTAGTTTATTTCAAGCTGGGCTTTGAGGAGTCCTCTCTGGCCACTGTTGAAGTATGCTTGTGGCAGGGATGAGGGGGTTTTGCCGTTTTCCTTTTGTTTCATGTTACTACTTCAGTCTGTGAAAAGTTACTGTAAACTTCTGTTATGTTGGGCTACCCTGTAAGAAAATGTTCTGAGGCAGAAAACAGGTTGAAAAGTGGTGTTTTTTAGTGGGAAAACAGAAATCAAGAAACATGAGTAGGCTGGGCATGGTAGTGCACTGCATGCTTGTAATCCCAGTACTTTGGATGAGGCAGGAGAATCGCTTGATTCCAGGAATTTGAGATCAGTCTGGGCAACACAGTGAGATCCCATTTACAAGAAATAAGAAAAAGGAGCTGGGAATGGTGTTGTGCACCTGTAGTGTCAGCTGCGCGGGAGGCTGAGGCAGCAGGTCGAGGCTGCAGTGAGCTGAGATTGCACCAGTGGACTCTAACCTGGGTGACAGAGTGAGACCCTGTCTTATTTTTTTTTAAAAAAAGATGAGTAAATGCTTAAAGTTACAGGGCAAGCTATAGGCAGCAGCAGGGCTAGAATCAGGCTTTCTCTTCACTAATTATTCTTCTCTCTGTTGCACTATATCTCTCAAACAAGTCAGTGTAGGCACTCAGTAAAGTTCGAGTTTAATTGAACCCTTGGTGTTTGGACTCTGTATTCTTGGGTTCCGTACTCAAACGTTTTGTCACAAACTATTTGTCTTTCAAAGAAGATTCCTTATAGTGAAGGAAATGTGAAGCAAAGTTATTAATGGGTAATGGGGTGGGAGGCTTCTTAGTTTTAGCAGTGGTTGTGGATACTTAATAGAGAGCTGGCCTTTTTTCTTCAGAATAGTTGTGATAGAGACCATATTACCTTCAGTAGGAGTTGAGGCATTATCCCTGCAAGTTTTATTTTTTCCCCCAAATCAAACCCCAAAATGGTCAGTACACTGTAAGTTTTTCAGATAAGCAAGTGAGCATGCTCTCGAACACCTGTGCAAAATGCTGAGACAGACTTCCATTTCCTGTGACCTGCCCTGGAATCTGAAGAGGAAAATCCAGGTGGCTCCATGGACAGAACAGCTTTTGAACAGCTCTGTGTAAATAATCACCATGGCCATGCATTCCTTATTTTTAAAAAATATCTGTAAAGCAAGTTAGCTTTCAATTAAATAGTTGCTTTATGTCTGCTTAATGACATGCCTAGGAAGTGCTCTTTAAACAGGAGGGGGAGATGAGGAATACCATTACAGTGAGGGCAACGGGACTCTAGCAGTGTGGGTCCTACGAGACAGCGTCCAGGGGCACACTGGAAGTCTTAGGCCCTCTGAGGAGGTGTTTTCCCAGTTGACATTTTCTTACTTCTCAGTAATTGGAATTAGAGAGTGTGGAGAGATGGGGTGAATGCTCTGTGTCTGCTTTTGAGAATGTTTTCAGGTTCGTTTTCTTTTAGAAAATTAGTTGTTCTTTGAAATAATTAGTCACTTGTTCGATCTTTTACTCAAAATGGTGTATCTCATGACCATGGTGAGCAGCATTCTGCTTGAGAGTTTCCTGACTTTTTATGAAAGAGAAAAGCCTAAAGACTTCGAGAGCATTAAGATGAGAAGTTAAGTTGGCGGAGATGAGTATGTGTAGGGTCGCTGCCTTTGAGATGGCACGGTGGTGGTGGTATTGTGGACTGGGAGAAAAGCCCATGAATGGTCTAGCTGGGAGAGGGTGGAAAATACTAACAGTGCACTTACTGGGGACAGAGGGTAGGGATTGGCCACAAAATTGGCCAACTCCAGGGAACGCCATTCACAAGAAGGGGACAGGGCCCTGTGGAGTTGGGCAGTACATTGGCCCTGGCCAGGGCTCTGACCACAAGTCATCTATCTCTCCCACAACTGGAAAGCATATTTCTGCCTAAGAGGGATGAGTGCAGGGACACAGTGGCTGGTTTGGCCAAATTGGCCTCCAAGATGGACTAATCAATCATGATCTACAGTTATCCCTGGTCCCAGCTAGACTACTGATAGGCATTTCTCCCCAATCCACATCCAGCCCACAGTATCACCATCAACACCGCTAAGCCATCTCAAAGGCCAGCTACCCTACATGTACTCCTCTCTGACAACTTAACCTCCTATCTTGGAGACCAATCATGCTTATGAACTGCTGGCCAAATTCCCCCCTCCTGCCCCGAGATCCTCTCTTAGGGCTTTATTTTGACAAATCAGAAGTTGGTAAACAAGAGGGATTATAATTACTGGCATGCATTAGAGTGTGTGGTTAGAGAACACTGGGTCGTTGCTCTTGACATTTAACAATGTTTGCTATCCAAACGAAAGTTACATGTCAGTCATTGACGTAATTAATAATTCTCTTGTGGAAACTGTAAGATGAAA